CGTGTGCAGTCGGATCGAAGGAAGCCTGCGAATTCTAAGGCACATCATAAACTGAAGATAAGGGGAATAACAGTTTCTTCATTGTATTAACTATGGGGATACAATAACACCCGTGAATACTATATAAGCTAATATAAAATTACCCCCAAAATAAGTATTTTAAGAATAAATTATTCTAGCCAGTAGTCATCAGTAGGTGAATACACCATCTTTGTCACTTCCTTCTTCTTTTTTTTTTTTAAAGATTTTATTTATTTATTTGAGAGAGAGAGAGAAAGAGATCACAATCAGGGGGAGGGACAGAGGGAGAAGCAGACTCCCCACTGAGCTGGAAGCCTGAGGCGGGGCTCGATCCCAGGACCCCAGGGAACGTGACCTGAGCCGAAGGCAGATGCTTAACCGACTGAGCCACCCAGGCGCCCCATCCTTGTTGTTTCTGCGCCTGTAACGCGCTAGCCCACATGATTCTAAAGCACTACGTTGCATCTGCAACAGCACAGCCCCTGAGTGACACTGTCCTAAACAGTCGTCCCCCGGCCCTTCCCTTTCTTTGCCCCTAGAAAATTAAAATCCCGACCTTTGAAAGAAAAGGGAATTTGTATTTGCCAAATACCTATTTTATATCATCCCCATAAAGGTTTGCCAGGAAGATGTCCTTTTTTCATAGCTGTTGCACCAAAGGCTCAGAGAAGTTGAGTGACTTGCCCACAGCCACACAGCTCAGACGGGGCAGGCCGGACTCAGACCCGGTTCTTAAACCCACCTCATCCTATGACTCCGCGCTGCCTCCCACATGATAAGTCATGCCCCAGCCATCCAGTTTTACAAGGACACACCTCACATTTCTTCAGGGAGTCTCCCCTGGGCCCTTCCTTTTTCTGTAAGCTTAGGGGTGCAACTCCTCTGTACTCACATGCTTAGGAGATGGAGTCCAGTGACGTGTGTCAGGCTGCCGTCCCAGACTCGACTGGTTTTCCCAGAACGGTACGATTGGGCAAGGAAAGTGCAGAGTCTTGTTGGACGGCCCCACCCCAGGTGCTCATGCTCTGAGTCACTGGCCGCGTGTGGTGTGCAGGCCCAGGGCAACTGAGTCACCGTAGCCCTCGTCCACGGTCCTGCACAGAAAACTGCTCCTTGGTGAGAAGCTGCTCCCCGTGAGCCTCACTAACGCCCTGCTTTTTCTGGGTCCATCTTCTCGTCCACGGCCTGTTCAGAGACTTGTCCCCAAGGGCGCTTGATTTGTTCTGTGCCTCATTTGCTGCCCTCGTAGGAACGGGATGGGGAGATGGGCAGCCCGCATGGGCCGCTGAGCCGAGAGGGGACAAAGAAGGAGTGTCTAGAATACAGAAGGGAGATTCCGCCAAGGTCATGACCTTCCTGTTCATTCTGTAGAGACAAGCATGGCTTGTGATCTGTGCCCGCTAACAATTACTCCTCCATCCACTCTGCGCTCCCGCTGTTAGTGGCTCGGGGAGGGGATGAGGGGTCGTGGCCGCCCTTCTGCGGCTGGGCTGCATCTGACGTGTTCTCTGTCCTCGGGCCGCGGTGAACGCGCACCCTCGGATGACGGTGCCGCCTGTAGACACGGCACTTTGTACCCCCGAGCTACCCAGGGAGGACGGTCTGACGGTCTCACGACAACGCAGCCAGCAGTGAGTTCGACTAATGCTCAGTCATGGCATCGTCTTAGGTGGGTCTTCGTCTGCCACTAATACCTCCTCTTCTTAAGGAAAGAGCTCTCAGATCGTAAAACTGTGCGTGATCACGAAGCACGGGTGAGCATTATGTTCTCGCCATGCGTGCCCATCGGCGGGCACTGTACCGCCGCTCTCCGTGGGGCCCCCGTTGTGTCCCCGTGCTGTAGTCCTCATCCCGGGCGGTCGGTGTGAGGGTCACACTCTGGAGCGTGGACGTCGATGCACGGGCACAGGTCAAGGCTCAGCCACCCCGACAGGGACAGCAGCGTCTGCACGAGCTGATGACTCAGTATTGCCGTATCTCTGAGTCCCGGGACCCACCTAACAACTTTGGGAGGCTGTTTTCAAATTACTGCTCCTGTTCTTCAAAGAAGAGCCTACAGCAGTCATCCGAACCGGAAGGAACTGTGATGTCCGTCGCCCGCCGGGCGCCAGGTCCCAGGCCGGGCTCCTCACAACGTCACGTGCATTCCCACTAACTCTAGCGTTACAAATCGAAGCCGAGGGAGGTTCAGAAGCAACCGTAGCGTGGACGCTGGAACACAGTCCTACCCCCCCGACGGCATCTGCCCGGGGATCAGCCCCTGAGAGCGGCACACCTGTCTTCAGGACTTGGGGGACAGGTGATTTCACCCCCAGGGAAGTGCCCAAGCCACCCAGCCGGCGGTGGATGCTGGCCGAGTGAGCACCAGGCCTTCAGGCTCTGCTGCATTTTATTTGCTCCTGGGATCTCCTGAAAGGCTATTTCCCAGTGACAGAGCCCCCAAATCGATGCAATAAAGAAGGGACACTAAAAGGAATCATGGCAAGCGAGAGAAGGTTCTAAACAAGGACTTGAGGCAAAAACAAGTGAGCCACCTGGAGAAAAGTGGACTGGGGTTTGACTTCCCGCCACCTCCTGGCACCAGGGCCGCGTGGGGAGCGAGGGCGCGAGCCCCGTGTCGACCCCTAGCAGCAGCGAGGGACGGACGCAACACGATCCAGGCAGGGTTTCGAACTCTATGTTCTCATCTCAGACGGTCACCGGAACCTGGTACCTAAACCCGGGACAGGAAGGCACGCACTCCGCTGGGCACTGCCTGAACTGAGCAGGTGAGAAGCAGTCATCTTGTGAGCTTGGAGCAAAAGAGGGGTGCTCTGGTGGGATGGGGGGGAATCAGCCACAAATGGCTGGCAAATAGGACGCAGGGAAAGGCGCCACGCTCCTGAGGGAGGAGGTTCGGGGTCTGTAGACGAGTAAACCAGCCGCCTGGGAACACCCAACTCATTCTGCGGTTTAAAAGGCTTTGCGTTTAGTTTAGAAGTAATATGTCAAAACACTTGATTATTTAAATTTGAATGAATGGCAGAGAACCTGCTCTACTAAAGTTTCATTTTCGTTTTCGCTGAGTAGCTCTACTCCGAGGCATGGGGCTCTTGCTCAGCATTCGGTGTGTTTGCAGGAGGGATAAGTCCTTTGAATTCATGTCAAATGGAAAGAAGGGAACGCGGGTGGGCGACATTGCCCCTGTGAACGCTGCGTATGGATTTCCCCCATCATCCTCCTCTGATCTTCAGCAGCTTCAAATTCTCCAAGAGCTTTTGTACGGAAGGTGACAGGGAGAAGGAAAAGAATGAGCACATGCTGGGTGAGTGGCCTTCCTCAAGCCCCTCTTGGGTAACAGGTTTACCAGAGACGTCTAATATTTTGGATCAAGCGAGTAGCTGGGCTTTATTTAAGATTAAGGTGTGCATGCTGCTGATGACAGGAGTGAAGTAGACATCTGTTTCTTCATGCGTGGCCCGGGCAGGTGCAGACCACCCACGCGGGGCACCTAGCCATCAGAGGAGGAGCATTCACCGCCAAAAGGGCCTCCTACTCTGGGGAGCACGAGAGAGAGAGTGAAGAAACCCAGAGAAGAGGCAGATGCTGGAGGTTCAGAAGAGCAGAGGGGACGCCCCAGGAGGGACTCAGAGCTGGCTGTCCAACAGGACGCTCTCATCCCTTTCGGAAACGCCATCACACCTTGAGAAGGATGTGCAAGGCATTCTCTTAGTACGATTCAACCACCTCATCATAGACATGAAAACAAATTCCATGTATATATTGTTCAAGTCCATCCTCGGTATTCGGTGGTAGAAGCTCCAACACAGGTCCAGAAATAAGGGCATGCACCTGCCAGTCATCCTCGTGGGCATAATTCCTGACAGCAGGATATGCTCTGTGGTCAGGAGGCACGGCCCGGGTGACTTATCAGATTGAATCAAATGTTGGGCCCTGGTGAGGGAGCTGTGGGCACACACAGGCATAGACACCTCCATCGTCACTGCCAAACGAGCAAGCGTTTATTGAGCACCGACTTGACAGGCAGTGATGGGATTTGGGTGCAGGGGCCGCAGATACACAAGCGTGGCTTTGGAAAAGCCCGACTCTTTGGCCGTGCATTTCGAATGAAAAATAAAAGCACAGAGGTGCCTTGCATTGCGTATCAGATGAAGCAAATAAAAAGCAAGGCTCAGAAACTCAGGGAAGGAGACAGCTGTGGACTGGCGTGCCCGAGGGGCTGGTGGAAGGGGTCTGCTTTTACCCAAAACTTGGAGAAAAGGGTCCAGACTCAGTTGTATGCTGTCTGCGGTGGCTGGGCTTGACTGTTGAGTGAATGAATGCAACGCGGGCTTTGCTCTCAGATCCTCCGTCCCTGACTCATGGACTTCAGCTACAGGTCGGTTGAGAAGGTGAACGTGGGTCTGACCAGGAGTCCACACACACTTTGTACAGGAGCACCTGTTACTTCTATGGAGTCTAATTCCTGACATTAATTAGAAAGCCACCCGGAACCTATCGTGATGGCAGGACGAGATGCGTTGACTAGTATTTCTGTCTCTGGTTGTGTCCCGCTGGTTGTGTCTGTTAACTGACCACGACTCGGGTCCAGTGTGCAAACCAAGGACGCTAGCACCTGCCTGCTCACCGCCGGTGGTTTGGTTGGAGGAGCAAGTGAGAGCCGTTTTCACATTCTTGCTGATCAAATTTGTTCCCCGGAGTGGTCGGCTGCATCAGAACCCTCGGGAGTGCTCATTTGTCAGAGGACAATGGCCAGTGAGACTGTTTTACAAACAGACAACAACAGCAACCCCCAAACAGAGCGAAACAAAGAAAAAACAAAACAAAGCAAAAACCCCCAAAACCTCGGCAAACGTACGGTGTTTTATTTTCACTAAAAGTCATGGAGGCATGGGAAAAGGGGGTGAACACAAAAAACAAGCAGACATCAGTGAACTAAAATAAAACAAGAAAGAAAACAAACCAACATGTGTATCTGCATGTAAGCATAGGAATTTTAATTGGACAGAACATATGCCAAGTTACAGCAGCTTCGAGCATCGGTGAGGCTTTCCATGCACAGAATTCATTCCATCAGGAAGAACGCAGTACGTTAAATAATGCAGTGAGTCCAAGGACTATGATGACATACCCATTTGATGGGAACCTAAGCACGGCCCACCCGATTTGGAACAATTGGACCAGTCTCGGGATTTACAGCTACATGTGGAAACCGCAGTAACACTCAGGACTTCAGGACTTCTGGGTTCTTTGTCTTCTGTCAAAAACACTGTGAATTCAGCTCCCTGGATGTGTTGGTCAATTCCATTCTGCCATTGGTCAGCATGTTCACGGCTTCTGACAGGAAAGTGTTTTACTCAAAGATTTGCAGAACTTCCTTCCTGTAAGATTTCAGTAGCATGGCAAGAACTGTGAGAGGAAGCTACGGTATTGATCATAAAAACTCCCCGCAAAGCCTAAGCTTGTCCTTCACCGGATTTACGGGAAAATGTTGTGGAAAGCAAACATGAGTGAAATTTGCCTAATGCTCAGTTAAAAAAAATAAATCTCTCTTTAAATAAATTCAGTGGGGAAAACAAGAGTTATTTTCCTGATGGAGAAATAAATATCCATTATGCAATTGAGCATAATCATCAGCTATCGATTATATGTCGTGTTCCAGACCCCGTGCTCCGTCCCCGCCAACCTACCTTTTCTCTAGTCTTTCAACAATCCCGAAAGGATTTCCATTATTCCCATTTTGGAGATGAGAAAAGCAAAGTTTAAAGAGTTTAGGAAACCATCACACAGCCAAGAATTAATGAATCTTTTCACTTGTAAGTTCTATGTGGGAAGGCTCGCCATGGATTCCCCAGAACGCAGGAGGGTAAATGCCCGGTCTTGGCAAATAGAACTGCTAGAATTCCCTTAAAAACACAGTAGTTCCTAAGTTGGGTCACTGTTCAGAGTTTCCAAGGGAACTCACAGCTTGAAGGAAAGGCTCCGGGGTATTTGGACAACAGCTTTCCCACGTTCTTGTGTGGTTGTGTGCTTTCCAGGTGCCCCCTCGCCCCCAGCTGTCGCTGGAATACATGCATCCTTAAAAGGCAACGCTCCTGATTACCTAAGCACAGGAAGCTCGGTGGGTGGGTCCTGATTGATTCATGGTGAACCAGAAGCTGTTGGCGCGCCTTCCTCTCTCATGAACTTTTCTAGTCACAATGGGACTGCAACCAGTTCCCATTACCCCCTCCCCCTGACATCCTTGAAGTTGAGTATGCTGCATCACAGACTGGAGGAGCCCAAACACAGGTGGCCCGTCCCGTGGGACCATCCTCACGTACTCAGTGAAGGCCCCCCTCACGGCTCTTTCTACTCCCCGGGGAACGGGGGTGTTGCCGGGGCCACCCCAGAAATGCTGGATTTCCAGTGGTCTGTTGCCCACCAGGCCCTAGCCCCTGCTGCCTGTCTCCGTCTTCCAATAGAGCACCGTGCCAGACAGAACATTAAAACCGGATTGCCCTGGTTCCCTATTTTCAATCTGTAGTGAGCACGAACGTTCTCTTTCATTTACTTTAAACGACTTGTCTGAATTCTGCCTGAAGGCAATTTTACCGTGAAGAGTTAAATTTTTACAGTGAAAATATCGTGGTGAGTTGGCTTGCTTTAGCTTTTGAGCTGTGAATAAATGACCTGGTTTGGGGAGGAAAGCAAATTGTAGGAGTCAGGACAGGGGCTCTAGGGAAGAGCTTCTCCAATTCCTGTCTCAACGGGAAGAGAGGGCGCGCGGTCCATTCGCTGCTGTTGAACCTGTCCCTTTCCTCACCTGCAGGAGCAGAGAAGTGACACCCCGCAATGCTGCCTTCGCGGACTTCACTGACATCGCCTGTCTTGCACATCTGGAAGGAAGTCTTGCACAACCAGAGTGAAGTGTGGCAATGTGAAACTGAAGAAATGGACGAAACAGAGCTATGCTTTGCCGAGTACATGCCAGTCACCGCTAAACATGCTTGGGCACCCAGCACTGTAGGAAGCTGCAGAAAATGCTGACCTGTGGCATGGGGAAGAGTTACCCATTAGCTGAGCAGCTAAGCCGTTTAAAAAGTTAATAATTGTTTATGGCTGCTTTGAATTGGGGGCTCTTAATTTAAGGAACAGTTCCAGATCATATGATTTCTTTGCCTTTTTTTTTTTTTCCTTTGGTATGGCTTACATAAAGGGAAGTTAAGGCCTAGCACCCCGAGTTTGGAGGAACTGGCAGGGTCATCGGACATTCTAGTGAAATCGGCTTTAACTGAAAAGTCTGCAGTGACTCCTCAACCCAGCATGGCCCCTATCAGGACATGTGGTACCCAGACCCCTTCTCCTCTTTGTCTCTTTTCACTCACAGACGTTTAGAGAATTCTCATTAAAATTACTTAGAGCGAAACAGAGAGACCATGTTATAAAATAAACCCAGTTAAATACACTTTGTTGTATTGCCTCATTTGTGTGATGCATGGACTTAATTTTCCTCTCTTTGTGTCTTAACTATGTACATTAGGTGATGCTTGCCAATTAATGCAGGATGCCACATCCCCAATTGCTTTCTCTATCTTCTTAAACATTAAAAATAAATACATGCCATCTGTCTCATATCTTGAAAGCAATTCAAAATGGTTACTTTTGTTTGCTCAGGATTACAGCACAGTTTATGGCTTTGGTGCCTCTGAATTGTAGGAAAGTTCTGTCTCCATGTCATAAATGTAACTTCATTTTTTAAAGTGCATCCAGTGGAAAGAGCAGAAGGCTCTCATGAGAGCTGGGACAAGACAGAAAACAGGGGTGCAAGGAAACCTTGCTCTTTGGCATTTGAGAGAGCTGGGCCGAATGCTTAGCCTGCTGTTTCCCTGGCTGAGTGATCTCGGGAAATGAGCTTTGACTTCATGAAGCCTCAGTATTCCCTATCTGTGAAATGGGGTAGCACCTTCCGTGTGGCATGCTCTGGGAAACATATATAAATACACAGAAACTGAGAGAGAGAGAGAAAGAGAGAGAGGCAGAGAGAAAACACACGGCCTACCCAACTCCTGGTTATGGCGCAGTACTAATCATCTTCATCATCACCCAAATTTGGGAGGGGAATAATTCAGTTTGAGAAGGAGAATTGTGGTGAAAAAAAAGGAGCTCAGAGTAGCAGAAGGTTAAGTCCTAAGAAAGGAACTACTTACGGAAGCTGTGTTTTTTCTCCGTGGCAATTAAAATATGAAGGTAAACAACTGGACTCCAATCGCCCCCCGCCCTCACTCCCCCCCGGGGGCACCCAGGTCAGCTGGGAAGTGCGGAATATGACTGGTGCCTCAGGACAACTTGAGACACTTTGGATCTGCCATGGCTACAATGGCACTTTTCAAAGAGGTTTTTGTTTTTTTTTTTAATTAAAAAAATGGTATGCCATAAAGCACCAAATGCCTGAATAACTTAACTATAATTAAAGGGGCAAAGGGCAGTTTGAGAACGTTCCATTTTCCATTCCAAGTCAGAGCAATTTTCCCAACAATACTTTCTACTGTAGCAAAAGAAAGTTTTCTAGATCTGAGCCGAGCGTTCTGAAAATGGTGAACGTGTAATTTGAAATCCACCCTATACTCAGAGACCACAGAATTGCAGTGCTGTATAAAATGCCAGACACATGTGACCTGGCCCAAAATATTTTAGCAATAAGAAAATTGAGGTCCAGTGAAACACAGCAAATTGTCCAGAAGCACACAACTAGTTCAAACGGGAACATACCCTTTCTTTGAGCTAGGTTTCAAAAAATTCGTTAAGCACACTGAAAGTTTTTAGACTTCTATAAATATCCTTGGTTTACAGCTGATTCCTTACATGACGCGGCTTCTAACAGCCTTATTTGAACATAACTGAGCTGTTCGGCATAGTCTTCGCATGACAAAGTGGTCAAGTCTTACTAGTAGCCGAGAATGTATTATCAAGCCTTTATTTAGCCGCACTGTCAGGGCAATCCAACTATTAGTCATCTTGACATGTGCCTCAGAACACCACACACCCATGAGTCCTGGCAAAAATTACATCTGCTTCCTGCCGCCTCCCACACGGCAACTCTTTGCAAATTGCAGATATTTTTACTGCCGTTCTAGAAAGAAAATTACTTAACATTCCTAATCTGGGGAGGCATTTAAACTTCCCCTCCCTAATTATAAAATTAAAAGCCAAGTAGTGTAAACTCTGCACATGTAGCAAAATGAAGATCCGCTAGGAAGAGCAGTAGTGAGCAAGCGAAAATCAAAAACTTCTTGCAATAACGATGTTAGGAAGCTCATTCCTAAGGGCATTTCCGTCACCCTGCAGCCCCTTTCTGCTAGAAGCACACTGCTTTTACCCTGTCCCTACCGAGTCTGAATATGATCTGGAAATGGACTTGTAGGCAGACCAGTTGCTGCTACTCATCACACAGCGGAACCAAGATGAAGATCTAAAGCTACTAACACGAAACGTTTCTGAAAACCAAAAGCTATCGTACTTTCAAACTCTACATTTAGTACGTCCTGTTGGCCCTGATGATTATATTTATTTATATATTGTATATATATTTATATTTATAAATGTATATATAAAAGCATGTGTTGATCATGTAAACAATCTTTTACTTTCTGCCCTATTTTACTGGGCTGATCAGTAAACATACAGTTTGCATAGAAGAGCGGGTTTAAGGCCAGGGGGTGACTTTGGGGCCGGCTGCCCCTTCTCTGTCACTTCTACCTTCCTCAGAGCGACATCAGGTTCCTCTTTCCACGTTAGCTCCCAGGATAGGCTGTTTAAAAAGTCAGAGGGGAAGGACAGGCAAGTGGCTCTCAGAATCGCACAAGCGGTACTCCCCAAGGAGAAGCCAGGCTGATTAATAGAACAGGAATCTGTTTTTGACACCCTCGCCTCACCCTCCCCAAAAAATGAACCACCAGACTCAAGATGCTGATAAGAATTCTTTTATGTTATTCCAATAAAAAATACATTCATACAGAAATATAACAATCTTGCAAAAAACAATTTCAAATAAAATCTTGTAAAACAAAATTTTACAAAAATCTTACAAAGATTCTTTAGATAACAGGGTGCTTCAAAAAAAAAAAAAGAAATTTCACTAATAGAAATTTTTTTTTTAATGTCAAGCAAAAAGTTTCTGCTTGATTGAGGCTCAGTTATCACCTGAACAGAATGTAATTCTTTATGTACTTGCTTATTATGAAAATTACAGGCATTGACACACATGGCACCCAGCCCCACCCAATCAAACAACTTCATGGTGTTTCATAAGTGAGACAAGCCAGTGCAAGCTGTGGTTTTTTTTGTTTTTGTTTTTTTTTTTTTTCCTTTTTTGTCTTTTGTTTACCTTCTTGCTTAATGGAATTGTTATGGCTAAGCAACACAGCGGGGCCAAAAAAGGAGTTTCCCCAAACCCAGCAAATCAAGTGCCTGGATTTGGAGCTGCCAAAAGAAAAGTGCATTTTCCCCTCAGCAAAATGAAGTGAGTTGTTCAGGTAAGTGTATTCATCAGCCCAGATAAAAAACCAGTTATGTGAGCTTTCCTCATTGCTCATTTCCAGGAAGATCAAACAAAATACCAGCCCAGCCAGACTCATATGTGTATATATATATATATATATACATATATATAAAGAAAAGATCCACACCCACGAGCCAGCAGCTGGATGAAATATCAGCTGTCCATGCTGCGGTATGCCAATTCGGGGAAATTACTCGTTGGAAAAACTGGAAGAATCTATGTGCTGGAAAAAATAGCTTCATCTGCATAAAAAGTATTCTAAAAAAGAATCCCTGTGATTAGCTTCCTCTTAGGTTAGATGTTCTAATAAGGCTGAAATTCAAAATCAAATCCTTAGTGTGTCTGAGACCAATTGGTGGGTGAGGATTCCCTTCGTGCCACTTTTGAATGGCCGAAGATCCCTTATTCTGGACCTGCCAATAATGATGAGCAAAGTCAGCAGTCTGCAATAGACTGCATGCCAAGGATCTGTAGCAAATCACTAAATTACAGATAAAGCCTTTATATAAAAGTTATGGTTTTCATTTTTACCTCCTTTATGGCCATTCTGAAATTATTTCTTCACAGGCTGTGGAATTTTCTATCTAAACATTCTCATTTCTCCTTAAAAAAATATTTATATATTATCTATATATATGTATATACACACACACACACACATACTATACACACAAATATACATACACAAGAATTCCGCCCACTTTTTAAAAAAAAGTAATATACTTTCTGTATTACCAACAGATAGCTAGATAGATATGTGGAGCTTGTGCCTTTTAAGCAAATACATTAACATTGTTTTTTATATTCTGTATCTTTAATATGTGTGAAAACGTTACATATTAAATACAGCCGGTGTGTGATCTATACAATTGTTGTGCAAAGTCTATATGAAAGTCTCATGGTGGCAGAAATGGTCCGATTTTCCAATAATCATGTGTTTTCCACTTGAACACTGACAGTCAAGTTGTCTAAAATATCGAGTAAATACTGACTTGTTTGGGGAGTTTTATCTCTCTATTTGTCTTTGTGAAGGAGGACTTTAAAGAGATTTTT